AGTGGGGGGCGCGGGGTCTCAGGGATTGTAGCCTGGGCAGAGGTGGTGAGAATTCCAGTCGTACCCCTTCTCCGGGGATCCCCTGGGGTGCAGGGGCGGAGAGCGGGAAGGAAGCTGAGGCCACCCCTCCAACCCCCCTCCGCCTCCTCCTTCAGACTGTTTCAGCAGCCCGAGCCCCCTTTGACCGGGGCCCAGTGTTAATTTGTGAAATCCCACGTGGAGGTCCTGAGAACCTGGTGTTTATTTTTGTGAATGTGTTGGCAGAGAGCACATTGCAGAGGGGGGCTTCTCGGGTCCGAATAAATGCTAATTAATAAAAGTTATTTATTTGGGTTGGAGCACGCTGTGGCCCCGGGGTCAGGCGCAGACTGACTTGTTTGAAGCAAAAACAAACGCGAGAATGTCTCTCAACAGCTTGAGAAATGCAGGGACGAAGAGGCTGAGTTTATTTGTCTTAGGAAGAATTTGCAGTTAATTCCCTCCAGACTCTTTAGGCCCTTAAATTACCCCGAATAAGAAAAACCCGGGGTGCCGGGGACAGGAGGCCAGGAATAGGCAGTTTCCGCATCTTTGGCTGCGTGTAGCCGAGTTCGTGGTCTGCGTGGACGGGCTGGACGGCAGAAATCTGCAGCCACTCGTGGGATCGGAGTCGCTGTCCTGTCACGGGGAGGGGCCGCTGGCTCCTGCCTGCCTTCATGAGCGGCCCAACAGCCTGGAAGCAGGATGTTGGCGTCGTCGGGCTTTATTTGGAAGCGTCCAGAAAAAAAGTCCAGAGAGACCAGACGGAGGGTAAGGGGCTTGCCCTGAGCCCTGTCCAACCCGGCTTCAATTCCTGGCACCATCCAGGAACACCAGCCAGAAGTGAGCCCTGGGGGTGCCCCCTCCCCAAAACACAGGATTTTGAACAAAAGAATGTGGGGGTGGGGGTGCACGGCACAGCTCTTCCCGGGAACAGAGCCTGGGGCACAGAGCACTTATTGCTTTTCCAAATGCTTTTAGGCCCAGAGGGAGCCACACGCCCACCACAATCCACTTCTGGGCCAGGATTCAGGAACTTTCGGGAACTGGATCCAGCCGAGAGGAGGCCAGGGCCAGCGGCAGGGCCCTGGCAGAGCCCTGAGCCCCGGGTTCGAGTTCTGGTCCTTCTCTACTGAGAGCTTCGGCTCAGCCCCTCACGGCATCTTTCTCTGGTGGGTTGGGATGAAGGGGCCTGAGACTTGCCAGGCAGGATGTGGGTTGCGGGGAACCGTGCAGCTAGGTGCCAGCTGCGGATCTTTATTGAGCAATTACTTTGTACCTGGCTCCCGAAGCTGGCGATCCTTTCCCACAGTGTCCCCGAGAGCTGGGTGAGAGTGAAGTCGGGCCAGAGAGATAGAACAGTGGTTAGGGTGCTTGCCCAGATGCAGCCAACGTGGGTTCAATCCTCCTCGGAGACCCATAGGCTCCCTGAGCCCCACCCGAAGTAAGCCCCGGGCACAGCTTGTTGTCCCCCCGCCCCAGTAAAAATAATAATTTCGGTAGGGAGGAGCCTTCAGCATCTGTGTGGGAAAGAGCCAGATGCTGCCTTTTGAGAGAAGCTGAGACACTAAGATCTGCATGTTGCTGTGGGTGCTGATAGTTCAGCAGGCTGGAATGCACGCCCTGCATGCCAGAGTCCTGGGTTCGATCCCTGGGACTGCCCGATCCCTGATCAGTGATCCCTGATCCTGAGCACCTTAGGGATGGACCCCCCAACCCCACCCCTAGCACTGAGCCGAGAACAGCCCCTGAACACCATTGGGTCTGGCTCAAACAAACCAGAACAGCCACGGTGGAAAGGAAAGATGAGCGGTGATGTGATCTAAAGGCGCGGTTCCCCAGACGGGGTAGGAATACTGAGGAGGGCGAGGCCCCTTAGCAGAGACCAGTGGGCAGGCCAGTCAGTGGCTCAGCCTGAGCTCACGCTTGTGAATTTCTTTTTTGTGAATATTACGTTTGTAATAGTGGTGTGGAGAGAGGAGAGGGTATTCTGCCTACGCCAGGAGTAATTCCTGAGTACAGAGCCAGGAGTAACCCCTGAGCATCGCTGGGTATGACCCAAAAAGCAAAAACAAAACAAAACAAAACAAAAAATCTGGAGCGATAGCACAGCGGGTAGGGCGTTTGCCTTGCACACGGCCGACCTGGGTTCGATCCCTGATCCCCGGCATCCCATATGGTCCCCCAAGCACCACCAGGAGTAATTCCTGAGTACAGAGACAGGAGTAATCCCCTGAGCATCGCTGGGTGTGACCCAAAAAGCAAAAACAAAACAAAACAAAGAGAGGGCATTCTGCTTGGATTTTTCTCTGAATCCGTTTCTGTGACTCGCTGTGACGTTACTTTGTGAGTAAGATAAGTATTGGGGGGCCAGGGAGATGCTTCAAGGGCTGGAGTCGCGACTTTGCATGCAGGATTCTTCCATCCCATCCCTGGCATCACCTAGTTCCCCGAGGACCACTAACAGGGCCACTGAGCATGATTCCCCCGAATAAAGTATATACGTTTGGGGGCCGGAGTGGGGAGGGCGTTTGCCTTGCACACAGCTGACCCAGGTTCAATCACCAGCACCCCATATATATGGTTCCCCAAGCACTGCCAGAAGCTCTGAGCACCAAGCTAGGACTAACCCCTGAGCGTTGCTGGGTGTGGTCCAGAACAACAACAAAATAATTCTATATTTTTTTAATTAAAAAAAATTTTTTGGCTTTTTTTGGGTCACACCCGGCAATGCACAGGGGTTACTCCTGGCTCTGCACTCAGGAATTACTCCTGGCGGTGCTCAGGGGACCATATGGGATGCTGGGAATTGAACCCGGGTTGGCTGCGTGCAAGGCAAACGCCCTACCTGCTGTGCTATCGCTCCAGCCCCAAGAATTACATATTTTAAAGGACCAAATGTGATAACCTCTCAGCATCTGTATTGCAAATCATTATGCCCCAAAGTAGAGAGAGAGTGTGGGGGAAATTGTCTGCCATGGAGGCAGGGGGAGGGTGGGAAAGGGGGGCGTATACTGGGGACATTGGTGGTGGAGAATGTGAACTGGTGGAGGTGTGGGTGCTTGATCATTGTGTGACTGTAACCCAAACGTGAAAGCTTGTTACTGTATCTCATGGTGACTCAATTCAAGCAAAAAATTATCTATTTTTAGGGGGGTAGGTTTTGGGGGAGCACCACTACAGCCAGTGTTGCTCTAGAGCCCCCCTGGTTTGGGGGGTACTTCCAGAGGTGCCTAGGGGACCATGCCACTCTGGGGGACAAAATGGGTTGCATGTAAGACAAACATCTTGACCCCCCCTAGAATGTACCTCGAGCCTCAAACTACATTTTGTTTGTTTGGGGGTCACACCTGGCTGTGCTCGGGGCTTACCCCTGCCTCCGAGCCCAGGGATCACTCCTGGTGGGGCTTGGGGGGGACCATACGGGGTGCTGAGGATCAATACCGGGCTGGCGGCTTGCAAGGCAAGTGCCCACAGTGGACTGTGCTATCTCTCTGGCCCATCGAAATACCTACCTTTAAATCAGAGAAATACAGAGGTTGAACTGCACAGCGGTGGTTGTAAGTTGCTGGCTCCTTCTGCAGTGCGACACTGGCCACACTTCCCAGAGCAGCTGACCACACACCTGACCAACACAGTTTCTTTCTCTCTCATGCACTGTGCGTCTCTGCCGTGGCACTGATCAGAGAACTCCTTCCACACGTAGTTCAAGGGCCGAAGAGATAGTTCAGTGAGTTGAGCTATAGACTTTGCTTGCAGGAAGCCTGGATTCAATTCCTGACACCACATCATCCCTTGAGAACTGCCAGGAGCAGAACCCCCCAGAGCAGTGAGCCATGAGTAACTCCTGAGCACTGCAAGATGTGACCCAAAAACAAACCCTCAAAATCCATCAAATGGGGCTGCAGAGATTGTACAGTGGGAAGGGTGCTTGCCTTGCACACGGCCGAGCTGGGGTTCAATGCCTAGCATCCCATAGGGTCCCCTGAGCACCACCAGGAGTGATCCCTGAGCACAGAGCCAGGAGTAACCCCTGAGCATTGCAGGGTGTGGCCCTGAAACAAAACAAATCCACCAAAAACCCAATTCTTGGGGCTGGAGAGATAGCACAGCAGGTAGGGCGTTTGCCTTGCACGTGGCCGGCCCGGGTTCGATTCCCAGCATCCCCTATGGTCCCCTGAGCACCGCCAGGAGTAACTCCTGAATGCAGAGCCAGGAGAAACCCCTGTACACTGCCAGGTGTGACCCAAAAAGAAAAAAAAATAAATAAAAACAAAAACCCAATTTTGTTTGGGGGCCACACCCAGAGATGCTCAAAAGTTATCCCTAGCTCTGTGCTCAGGGATTACTCCTGGAGGTGCTCAGGGGACCCTGTGGGATGCCTGGAATCTGCTTGCAAGGCAGGTGCTCTACCCACTGTGCTATCCACTCTGGCCCCAACAAAGACCTAATCCTAGCACCACCTCCCGGGGCCACCTTCCTGGTACCCAGCAAAGTTGAGTCTCTCCCTGAACCTAGCCTGCCCTGCGGTGTAGACACCTGGATCCTGCCCTATCCCTGCTGATGGACCCACCCGGTGCCCGTCTTCCTGGTGCAGTGCCCCTGGGGCAAGACACCTTGGACGGTGGGGCTCTGGAGGACTGTCCCCCACTGCCGGCAGGTTTGGTGGCCAGGATTCTGGGGTCAGGCTTGCAGTTCAAACCCGTGTCCACCAGTCACTGTAGCTTGGACGAGAGCCCCAACTCTCCTTCCTGAGTTAACGGGAAGCTTTGCTGGACCGTTCCAGGGAGCATCCCACCACGTGCAGGTTTGAGCTCTGTGCCCTGGACTCGGACTGACCAGCCTGCTCTTTATCGTTGCAATCGCAGGCTGGGCACGAGGTGGGAGCCCCTCTGGGGGACTTGGGGAAAGCCGGGGAACTGTGTCGGCACTGGAGGCCCCCACCGGCTGCCCACCCCAGCTCAGCCCAGTGCTCTCCGCAGGTGAGTGCCCCAGCCCCGGGCGCGGCGGCGCCAGCAAGAGGAAGAAGAAGCAGCGGCGGAACCGCACGACATTCAACAGCAGCCAACTGCAGGCGCTGGAGCGCGTGTTCGAGCGCACGCACTACCCCGACGCCTTCGTGCGGGAGGAGCTGGCGCGGCGCGTCAACCTCAGCGAGGCGCGCGTGCAGGTGCGGTGCGGGGAGGGGGGGTGGGCCGGGAGGGACCCCAGCCCCGAGCCTGGCAGGGCGGGCCGAACCGAGCCAGAATACTTGCTACCTCCTCCGGGACCCCAGCGGGAGCACAGCGGGGAAGCACACTTTCCTTGCACGCCGCTGACCCGGGTTCCATCCCCGGCGTCCCAGAGTGCAGAGCCAGGAGTTATCCCTGAGCATCAACCGGGTGGGACCCGAAAACAAAACCAAAACAGAGAGGGGTCGTGTGGCAGGCTCATTTCCCAGCTTTGTAGCTTTAAGCAGGTTAATCAACCTCTGAGCCTTGCGGGCCTTGAAAAATGGGGATCACACACCTGGATCTATCTTCTAGGGAGAATTCCAAGAATTCTTATGTTTGCTCAGGGCTTAGAATTGGGGCGTTGGGCTGCTTTCCCTCCCCCCTCTCCCTTCCTTGCCCTCTTCCTTCTTCTCCTCTGTGCTCTGGCAGGGGCCTTACTCCTGGCTCTGCTCAGAGATCACTTCTGGTGGGTTCAGGGGGACCATATCAGTGCTGGGCTTGGTTCCGGGCAAGGCAAGCGCCCTGCACCCCGCCCTGTTGCTGGGACCCACCTTTCCTTCCTGTCCCTCCCAGCAGTTGTGGGGGGCTGCACCCCGGAGGCCACCAGGGTCCCTCCCGACAATGCTAGGGGTGTGCGTGCAAGTGTGCCCCTCCCCCAGCCTCTCCCACGCAGGCCTCCACCAATCACTGTCACTGTGGGCGCCTGGACCTTTCCGGGGTCCCCATGTCGCAGCCCCCCTCCCCCCCCCCCCGGCCCCCAACACCTCCGGGCGAAGCCCCAGTTTCTCAGCTCCCTGTTAATCTGAACCCACGCAGCGGGCACCGTTCATCCCCCTGATCTCCCAGGGGAAACTGAGGCTCAGAGAGGCGAGGCTGTGTTTCTGGGGCGGCTTATGGGAACCCGGGGCTCCCAGCTCATCCCTCCTCCCGCCCTCAGGTCTGGTTTCAGAACCGCAGAGCCAAGTTCCGCCGCAACGAGCGGGCCATGCTGGCCAACCGCTCGGCCTCGCTGCTCAAGTCCTACAGCCAGGAGGCGGCCATCGAGCAGCCGGTGGCGCCCAGGCCCACCGCGCTCAGCCCCGATTACCTCTCCTGGACCACCTCCGCCCCCTACAGGTGAGTGGGGGCCGCGCAGGGACCCAGACTCCCCGGGGCAGAGGCAAGTCTGGGCATAGGCCCCCCCCCCCCAAGTGGAAGGTGAGTGGGTGTGGTCATCATGAGTGTGGCCACGGGGCGTGGCGCGGACATGTGTCAGCACAGTGGCCACATGCGTGATGGGCGTGTGGAGACGGGGCTGGGCCAGGGTGAGTGCCGGGGCAGCCCCCGGGATTGACATGACTCCCCAAGTACCCAGAGGGAAGTCACGTGCGCCGCGCGCGCGCGCGCACACACACACACACACACACACACGCGCGCGCTCACACTTAAGGAGCCTGAGAGATAAGGTGCTTGCCTTCTAGGAGGCTGACATCTGTTCAATCCCCAGCATTGCCTAAGATCCCCGGGTCACCGCCAGGGGTCACTCCTGAGCACAGGACCAGGAGTCCAGGAGTAGCGCTCTCTCTCTCTCTCTCTCTCTCTCTCTCTCTCTCTCTCTCTCTCTCTCTCTCTCTCTCTCTCTCTCTCCCTCTCGGGACCTGAGAGATTAAGATGATTGTCTTCTAGGAGACTAACGCCTGTTCAATCCCCAGCATTGCCTGTGCCTATGGCAATGACCCCCAGGCACCACCAGGGGTCACTCCTGAGCACAGGACCAGGAGTAGTACACACAAACACGCACACACACAAGGAGCCTGAGAGATTAAGATGCTTGTCTTCTAGGAGGCTGACTCCTGTTCAATCCCCAGCATTGCCTATGGTACCCTGGGCACCGCCAGGGGTCATTCCTGAGCACAGGGTCAGTAGTACGCTCACACACACACACACACACACACACACACACACACACACGAGGAAGATGAAGATGCCACTTCAGCCTGAGTTACAAACTTGCAGGAAGTTTTGGAGCCCCTTCATCCTGAGTTGGGGGCTCCAGGAGAGAAATTGAGGCAAGGAGGGCAGAGAAGGGAGGTCCCCCAGGTCGAGCTGAAAATCAGAGCCAAGCTCTGGGGCAGTTTGGCCCAGGGCAGTCCTGGAAAATGCACCAAGGGGCGGGGTGGGCCAGGAGGTACCAGGGAGTGAGCTCCTGGCCCTCTAGATTCCGGGGGACTCTCCTGCCCCTCAGCCGGTATGAGCACCCCCTCCCCCATAACCAACCACGGCGGCTCTGCAGGTTAGATTGTGGGATCTGAGTCTGGGACCCCCAGGACCTCACAGCACTCCCCGCTCTCTTACCTGGCCCGGGCCAGGAGACAGGGCACCCCAGGGCACTCCAATCCAGGTGGGTGCTCGGGCATCTCACCTGCCTGGGCCCAACGTCCTGCTCTCAGGATGTGGCAGGATGAGGCCAGAGTCCACTGCGGGGACTCCCCATCCTGCACCCCCAGAGGAGGGTTCCCAGGGCCGCAGGCTGAGGATGGGCTGGGGGGAGGGCAGCCCCAGGCCATGTGCCCACCACAGCCATGTCTTTGTGCCCCCAGCACGGTGCCATCCTACAGCCCCGGAGGCGCGGGCCCCACGCCCTCGGGCGTCAACATGGCCAATAGCATCGCCAGCCTCCGGCTCAAGGCCAAGGAGTTCAGCCTGCACCACAGTCAGGTGCCCACGGTGAACTGACAGCGGTGGCGAGGCCGCGCGACACCAGTCCGGGAGCGGGCACGGGTGCCCGGGACAGGCCCTTCCTTCGGTCGGACACCCAGCCCCAGCGCGGCCTGCGAGGACCTGGCCTTACCCGGCCTGCGGATGTCTCGGCCCGAAGGTGGAGCTGGAGCTCCCCAAGGACAACTCTCACTTCGTGTATGAAAACCCCGAAGCTTTGGTCTAAGAAATAAACGTTTGAGCCCCCCAAACGTCGCAGAGGTGGGATGAGGGCGGCTGGGTCAGGGCTCACCCTGTGGGTCCCGCTCTGGCTTGGGACTGTGGTCTGTGTCTGGGCATCTGCTGATACATCCCCAGGTTGCCCTGCAGAGCCCAGGAGGCCCAAGAGTGGCCCTGCACCCCACTGGCCACCCCGGTGCAGGGGGACAACCTGAGGTATGACAATGGCTGGGATCCCCCCTCCTGCCAGGCGGGGCTCTGCCCTCTGCTCTGTGCAGGGGGCAGGTGGTGGGCTGGAACAGAGGCTGGAGTGAACCCCCACGCCACCCTGTTGTAAGCTCCCTGTTGACATTGGACCCAGAAGAGAACCGGCCCAATGGCCCCGCAAGGCGGGGGGTGGGGGGGATTGTACCAGGCAAATTCACAGGACAGAGACCCCAACAGCCAACGGCCCTGGCAGTCCTTGCTCCAGTTCCCCTATCTTCATACATTCGCACAGGGTGATAGGACACTGGTTCCTCCAGCCAGGGACATCCAGAAGCCACGGCCCCCCACCCTACCCTGGGCCCCTCCTGGGAAGAGAGCCCGAGCTCAGAGCGGCCCAGTCAGCCCCCAGGAAGTGGGTCAGCATCCAGAGGGCGCAGAGACCACGAGTCCCTTCCTCTGGCTGCTTTTCCCTTGTCTGCCGGGCCCACCCGTGTCCACTGTCCGCACAAGTCCCTCGCCTGGCCCAACACACCAAAGCCACGCGCGGGTCCTCGCCTGATAACTAACCCTGCTCCCTGTTCGTCCCTACACATTTGATCACGTGAGGCGACTTCTGAGCCAAATGACTCTAGTGGCCACGTGCTGGCTGCCCTGCCGTGCGCATGGGAGAGCGGCTGGGCGGGACCAACCAGGGCGGGTGGGCGGGGCCTACAGGAGGTGGATTGTAGGGTGGGCGGGGCTGAGGCAGATGTGGGCGGGGCTAGTGGTGGGTGTGGCCTAGTAATTAGCATGAGTGGGAGGGGCCTACAGGCTTACGTTCGTTCACTGGACAATGAAACACTGGTCATATTGGGGGCCAGGTGGATGGGGGCTCCCGGGGCCCTGAGGCGACAACCCAGAACTGTCAGGGTACTTAGCATCAGAAGTTCACACCAGGCACTAAGGGCCTCACATCCAGTCCAAGGCATACTGGCTGGCTTCCTGGAGGAGGTGTCGTGGAGTTGCTGCAGCATGTCAGAAGGTCCTGGGGTGAGTTGTCTTTGAGGCGGTAGGGTGAGCTCTGGGATTGGGCCCTCCAGGTGCAGGATGATGGTGGAGAGAAGTGGCTGGCTCATGTGGGCCTTGCATGACCAGAGCAATCTATGCCACACAGTGGGGAGTGAGTCCACGCCCCTGGGCTCTGTCTTGGAGGGATCGAGGTGGTGCTCAGCATGCAGCCACCTGATCCAAGGCCAAGCAACAGGCTGAGGCAGGGGGCGGTGGGGGTGGTCTGGACACTGCAGGGGCGGGCGTTGGTACCTGGTCAGGGGAAGCGGGGGTGTTGGGCAGACCAGCCCTTAGCCAGAGCTGCTGTGCACCTCCACCGAGGGCCTCGTGGCATCCTGGGGTGACCCCTGGGGCCACAGCGGGGCACCCGGCAGCAGGGAGAGCAGCCTCCTCTCTCCCCCAGAACCCCAGCGGGGTGCAGAGGCGGGGGAGGCCCGCCCAGGCCCACATCTGCTCTATTTTCAGTCCAAAGGGCGGGAGCCACGGAGCGCAGCCAGATTGGCGCGTTCCTCGCGGCAGAGCTGGGGGTCACCCCAGGCCGGGGGCTCGGGCCCCCCGGAGCCAGCGTGGGGGAAGCCAGGGGCCCGATTCCCACGGAGGCCTTGGCCCTGCCGCGGGACTGGGAGGATGTCAATGTCACTTCCTCCTCAGCGCTCAGAGAAAACAAAGCGGCCTAATCGCTTGCACATGCGGCCCAGGCCACCGCGAGCGGCTGTCCCGGCAAAGATGCCGATTCAAACATCCCTGTCAGCGCGCGCTCCTAATTGCTGGGCTGTGTGGGCAGTTTCCCGGGCACCCGGCCCGGGATAGAATTTTCCATGAGGCCAAGGTACCCAAACTCCATCGCAGGCTGGGGGACTCGATCCCCTCCTCTCCCTGGTTTCCCTCTGCCCATTTGGCTGGACGAGCCAGGGAGAAGCAATTGTGCGTGCCTGTGTCTATTTTTATTTGAAATAAAGGGGAAGGGAGAGAGGGAGAGAGATTGAAGGAAGGGAGGTCTGGCTCTTTCAAAGCACTTTGGTTGGGGCAGAGAGGTCGTGTAGGGCCATGTACTTGCTTTGCCTACAGTTGACCTGGATTCAGTCCTTGACATCACATATGTTTCCCCCAAACACAATCAGAAGTCACCCCTGAGCACAGAGCCTGGAGTAAATCCTGAGCACAGCCCTGTATGGCTCAAAAACTTAAAAAAAAAAGTAAGGGACTGGAGCGATAGCACAGCAGGAAAGGCGTTTGCCTTGCATGCGGCCGACCTGGGTTCGATTCCCAGCATCCCATATGGTCCCGCGAGCACCGCCAGGAGTGATTCCTGAGTGCAGAGCCAGGAGTCACCCATGTGCACCGCCGAGTGTGACCCCCCCAAAAAACAAATAAATAAAAGAATGAACGGATGAGACCAGCTCCCTCCATTATAAAAAAATCAAATAAAAGCAAGCAAAAGAGCAAAAGTCCTAGTGATTGCTGGCGGAAGGCGCTTTCCTTGCCTCTGCTTCCTCCTCTGTGAAATGGGCTCACAGTCCAAGCGCTGCTCTTCCTGGGCAAATGGACGCTCTGATGGGGCTGAGTGAAGGTAGAAAGAGGAAATAAAAATATTCCCCAGCCTGGGGCGGGAGTGATAGCGAGGAGGGCATTTGCCTTTCCCGGGCCCACCCAGGTTCAATCCCCAGAATCCCATAGGGTCCCCTGAGCACCGTCAGGGATGATTCCTGAGCACAGAGCCAGGAATAAGTCCCGAGCATCACTGGGTGCGGCCCCCAAGCAAAGAAATTCCCCATCCCGACCTGAAGCGGCATTTTCCTGCAGAGACCCAGGCACATCTGGTCCTGGGCGCTTCTCCCACCCACCGCCCTCTGGCAGGGAGGGGAAGCTGGGGAGCAGAGCGGAGTCCACTTCCGCCGCCCAGCCCTAGGGGGCGCTGCGGGTCACTGAGACGCTGGGCAGAGAGCGTCCCTACGGGGACAGTCCCCTCAGGACCAGCGCAAAGCGAACCGACCCTGGAGCCGGAGTGAAAGGACACCGGGGGCGGACGGGCGCGGGGGCGTTTGACTCGCACGCCTGACCCGGATTCAACCCCCTGGGTACCACCAGGGCGATCCCCGCGGTAGGGCCGGGAGCAGCCCCTGAGCATCCCTGAGCATCCCTGAGCATCCCTGAGCACCGTTTGTTTCCAGCGCGGCCTAAAAACAAACAAAAAGAAACAAGCAAACCCGAAACCGCCAGCGGGGGCGCCCGCACACCCACAGACCGCAGGCGCGGTTTTCGGTCATTCCATCTCCAGGGGTTGGAGAAATAACCCAGGAGCCAGGAAGGGGGCATGGGAGGGAGAAAATCAGTTAGATGGGGGCTGGTGGTTCCACCCCTGCTGAGAAGGAGAGGAGAGGAGAGGGGAGGAGAGGGGAGGGGAGGTAAGGGGAGGAGAGGGGAGGGGAGGAGAGGAGAGGAGAGGGAGGTACCCAGTAATTTAGTGACTTTCTAGGACGAAAGTGGCCCCAGAAGTGTTCAACTAAGAATCAAACCCTGCAAGTAAGAGACATGCTTCTCTCCGACATCCATCTGCCTAGACACATGCGCTTCTGGGATTTCTGTCGGCCAGTGAGGACCCCTGTCCATCCAAAACTCAACCCACGGAGGCGGCTTCATCAGCTCTGACCATCTAGATAGTTTTTTTCTGGTTCGGTTTTGTTTCTTGGAGCCACACCTGGTGGTGCTCAGGGGTGACTCCTGGTGGGCGGGGACCATATGGGATGCTCCGGATCGAGCCCAGGTGAGCCACGTGCAAAACAAATGTCCTCCCAGCTGTGCTCCTAGCCAGATCTGGATGCTTTGAGAGTGGTGTTAAGTCCCTTTTAGATATTCACAAGTGCTGATTGTTTGAAAATCTCTTTTTTTTGGGGGGAGGGGTCGCGGGTTCATCTGGCTGTGCTCATTTACTCCTGGCTCTGCACTCGGGTCCTACGGGATGCTGAGGATCAAACCCAGGTTGGCCGCATGCAAGGCAAACACCATGCCCGCTATACTATCTCTATGACCCCATTTTTGTTTTGGGTTTTTGTTTTTGTCAAACCTAGTGTTTCCTCTCTCCAGCCCGACATTTTAGTTCTTCCTTTTTCTTTTTCTGGTGGCGCCAAGCGTTGAGCCCAAGACCTTATACATTGCTAGGCGGGTGTTCTACCCCTAAGCTACAGATACAAATGTGTTCATTTTTTTGGTTTTTTTTTTTTTTTTTTTTTTTTTGCTTTTTGGGTCACACCCGGCAATGCTCAGGGGTTACTCCTGACCCTGCACTCAGGAATCACTCCTGGCGGTGCTCGGGGGACCATATGGGATGCTGGGAATTGAACCCAGGTTGGCTGCGTGCAAAGCAAATGCCCTACCCGCTGTGCTATTGCTCCAGCCCCGATCTTTTTTTTTTTTTTGCAGTGCTGGTCGGGTCCTTTGGTTCAAACCCAGCGCCCTGGGCATGCCAGACTTACAGTCTGGCCCTGTGCCATCTTCCCAGTCACCGCTCTGATTTGTTTTTGACCACACTCAACAGTGCTCAGGGGTTACTCCTGGCTCTGTGCTCAGGGGCCACTTCATTTTTTTTTTTTGGGGTCATACCCGGCGATGCTCAGGGGTTACTCCTGGCTCTGAGCTCAGGAATTACTACTGACAGTGCTCAAGGAACCATATAGGGTGCCAAGAATCGAACCTGGGTTGGCTGCATGCAAGGCAAACACCCTCCCCGCTGTACTAACACTCCAGCCCCTCAGGGATTCCTGGCAGTGTTTGGGGGACCGTGTGTGGTGCTGGGAATTGAACCTGAATCAGCCGTGAGCAGGAAAAGCACCGAAACCCCTGTACTGTCTCTCCAGCTCCATCACCCACTGAATCTTAGTTCACTCCCTAGAAGGGAGACTGGACTGAGCACAGGATTGGGAGTCTAGAGTGGGCACTGTGAATCAGAGAACCCGAGGAGAGTTACAATGGGCACATTTCCCTGTAACCCAACCCCCCCAGACCAGGGAGCCTGACTTGCATCTAAGCATAGAATATTCCAGAGCAGGGACTTAGAGATGGAGTTAGGGTCCCTCACCAGGTGGCTTTCAATCCAAAGTGAGATAAGGCTGGAGTGATAGTTACAGCAGAGGATGCTCACCCTGTATGTGGCCAACCTGAGTTTGATCCCCAGCATCCCACATGGTCCCCCAAGCCAGCCAGGAATAATCCTTGAGCATCATTGGGTGTGTCCCCAAAACAAAAAAAAAAATCCAGGTGAGGCCAAGTGGGTGGGCCTGACCTAATCAGCTGAAGGGGTGGTCTCCCGTTTCAGGAGACCAGCACTCTGCCAAGGGGAGCCACCCTGGGATGGAGGGTACCCGTCCGTCACACAATCCTTCAACAAGCTCGACGGGGACCTCAGCCTGGGGTCCAGGGTTGCCCTGTGGGAGACCCCAGGCAAGGCACGTACTCAGCCTCACTGAACTCCTGACCTACAGAGAGTGGGAGGGCTGGGACAGGCCTAAACCACTGCGTTGGCACAGCCTTTAGCTTCACCCAGCGGAGCCCCTCCCAAAGCCCCTGGGAAGATGTGCAGATGACCCCACCAGACTATTTTGTCCTCTGTGGCATCACCCTGTCTGGGTATGTGAGGCACTTGTCCCCAAATTGACTCTGCCCTGCAGCCGCGCCCTGCCCCCCCCAATCAAACCGTCCCACTGTTTTATGGGGGAGGGCCTGCTTTTGAGCCACACCTGGTGGTGCTCAGGGGTACTCTTGGCTCTGTGCTCAGGGCTTACTCCTGGTTGGTCTTTCAGGACCATCTGGGATGCTGGAGATCAAATCCGGGTCAGCTGTGTTGAACGCAAGAGCCCTATCTGTTGTAGTTTCCAGCCCGACATTTTTTTTGGGGGGAGGGAGAGGCAGTTGGGGGGGCTCCCAGGCAATGATCAGGAGGCCCAGGGGGCTAGCTGTTCAGGCATGGAGTACCAGGAGGGGTTACACGGTGCTCAGGGGCCATGTGACGCTAAAAATGAACAGGTCAGGGACTCTGGACCTAATTAACATGAAATTCAAACCAGCTGGTGGGGCCAGAGCACTAGTACAGCGTTAAGGGCATTTGCCTCTCATGTGGCCGACCCAGGTTCCATCCGTGGCATCCGTTATGGTCCCCTGAGCACTGCCAAGAGTAATTTCCGAGCTCAGAGCCAGGAGTAACCCATGATAGTACCACAGGTAGGGCACTTGCCTCACACTCGGCCAGCCCAGGTTCGAGCTCATCATCCCACATGGTCCTTCAAGCACCGCCAGGAGAGATTCCTGAGCGCAGAGCCTGGAGTAACCCCTGAGCATTGCTGAGTGCGGCCCCCTCAAAACAAAACAAAAAAATAAAGTTTTTTTTTTTTTTTGGTTCAATGAGCCAAGAGCAGGCGCTTAGGAACGAAAACGCCGTCTCACCACCAGGGGGCACTGCAGTCCGCGCCCAGCCGCGCCTGGCTGTCCTGTGGGCCCCTCAGCGCTGCCCCCAGCCCTGCAGGCGCACTGTCCTTGGGGAGAGGGAGGCTGAGATCTAAGGCTACAGAACGGCAGGGTGGGGACATGCCTTGGTGCTAGGGGAGCCTTCCCCAAGCCGGGGGAGCATGCTGGGGGCATGTGCAGGGTTCAGAGCACTCACCTCCAAGTCAACGGCTGTGAGGGGGGGCTCAGATCACCCCACCTTCCAGATGCAGGGGTCCGCCTGGGAGTCACTTCCGGTCCCAGAGTCCGCATCCTGGCTGTGTGGCCCCCCCCCATGAACGCTAGCAAGCTGGAGCCCCGTCAGCCTGGGCACGGGGCGTGGTTCAGAGTGGTGGGCCCAGGGGGCCAGTTCACGATGAAAACACAATCACAAGAGTCTGGAGGGGGCCGGAGCGATACCACAGTGGGGAGGGCACACAGCCAACCCGGGTTCAATCCCCAGCATCCCATAGGGTCCCCCCAAGAACTGCCAGGAGTGATTCCTGAGTGCAGAGTCAGGAGGAACCTCTGAATGTGGCTGGGTGTGACCCCCCACCCCGCAAAAAAAAAAAAAAAGTTTGGAGGTTGGGTGGAGTGACGGCACAGCGGCTCACAGGGTCCCTTCCGCGACACCCCAATATGGTCCCCGAGCCCTGCCAGGAGGGATCCCTATGCACAGAACTGGGAGTAACCCCTGAGCAGGTCTAACCCTCCCCTCAAAAAAGTCTGGAAGTTGGGCTGGAAGGATGGTACAATGGTACAGCAGGGCAGGGCTGTACCGTGGCTGCCCAGGTTCGAGGTCCATCAGGAGTTATCCCAGAACTCAGAACTACAAGCGTGGCTTTCCGGTGACCCCAAGAAAGCCTGGAGGCCCCCCCAACACACACACACACACACACACACACACACACACACACACACAGAGATACCCACGTGTGGCTCACAAAAGGCCAGACATTTCCTTTTAGTGGTTGATTTGGAAACGGAAGGGTCCAGAGGCAAGAGGAGTGCACACCCGCCGTCCCTCCCGTCTCCCCCTCCCCAACCTAGGAGAACCACAGAGCCAACCCTGGCCGCCCATCCGGGCCCGGGTCTAGCCGGTCCTGCGGGGTTCCCGACAACGCAGGAGCCCAGGCGCGGCCCCCAGATCCAGAGGGCGCATCTTCACCTGGGCCTCGACGGCCAGGCCCAGGGTCCCTTTCCCCGGCGGGTTCCTGAGTGTGTCCCGTTCCGCGATCTCAGTGGTGGGACGGTTTCTGCGGGATGCTCCGGGCGGCCGCTTCAGGGGTGCTCAGTGCGCAGGCGCACATCATCCCGGTCCGCGCCTGCGGCCACACCTGCGGCCCGCCCCAGGCTCCAGGTGCGGGGTTGGGGAGGCGGGGGCGAGGCAGCAGCTGCCATCACAGGTGGCGGGCGGCTTCCCAGGCGACCTGCAGGGCCATGGAGGCGCAGGGCAGCTGGGCCAGCACGTAGGCCAGCGAGCGGGTGGGCGCGCGCAGCTTGCCCAGGTAGGCCACGGTGTGCGCCAGGCGGCCCAGGAAGAAGATCAGGAAGTGCAGTCGGGCCACCACCGGGTCCGGGCCCAGGAAGGAGTAGACGAGGCCCAGGAAGAGGAACGGGTAGATGGTCTCCATGTCGTTCCGGTGGGCTCTGCAAAACAACGGGCACGGTCAGTCCCGGGCATCGGCTGCCCCCAGTGGCCTCGCAGCACGATGGGGGGCATCTGAAGACCACTGGGGTGTGTGTGTGGCCGGGGGGGGGGGGGGGGAAGAGTTCTGCAGGGCGGGAGGGAGGAGAGGGGCCCGGCCCACCGAGGGTGCAGGAATCGGCCTGGCGAGAGGACAGTGGGGAGGGCATTAGCCTGGCGTGCCAGGAAGGACCCGTGAGCAGAGAAACAGGAGTAAGGCCTGAGCATCGCTGGGTGTGACCCAAAAACAAACAAAAAGATGGGGGACTGGAGATGGTCCAGCAGGTTAAGGCACGTCCCTGGCATACAACAGACCCAGGTTTGATCCCCAGCACCACATATGGACCCCCCCAAGCCCCACCAGGAGTGATCCCTGAGCACCGAGCCAGGAGTCAGCCCTGAGCAGTGTGATATGTGGTCTCCAAAACAAAGCAAAACAGAAAAGAAAGAACTGGGTGGAGACTAGTACAGAGGTTACGCCCCGAGCAGAACTGAGAACCTGGTTCAATTCCCAGGCACCGCACAGGGTCCCTCAAGTACCAGCAGAGATGTCCCCTGTGCACAGAGCCAGGAGTCCTGGTCCCTGAGTATCACTGGGCATGGCCCCATCAATTAAAAAAGAGGAGCTGGAGTGATAGTACAGCAGGCAGGGCACTTGCCTTGCATGCAGCGGACCTGGGTTCGATCCCCAGCATCCCAAGTGCCCCCTCCCCCCAGCACTGCCAAGAGTGATCCCTGAGCACAGAGCCAGGAGTAATCCCTGAGCACTGCCACGTGTGGCTCAAAAACAAGCCAACAAACAAAAAGAGCTGGGATGGAACCAGGCAGGGTCTGGCTTAAGCCAGTGGACTTGAGCCCGGGAGGCAGGACAGTGGGTAAGGGTCTGCCTTGCATGTGGCCGACCTACGCTGCATCTCTGTGACCTCACAGGTTGATCAAGGGGCTGATCCTGAGCAGAGCCAGGAACAACACCTGAGCACAGGCTAGGGCTCCAAACACCCAAAACAAGGGGCCAGAGCAATAGAGAGCAATAGCACAGTGGGGAGGGTCTTTGCCTTGCACGTGGCTGACCCAGGTTCAATCCCCCGCATCTCTTAGGGTTCCCTGAGCACTGCAGGAGTGATCCCTGAGTGCAGAGCCAGGAGGAACCCCTTGAGCACAGCTGGGTGTGACCCCAAAACAAAACAAAATAACCCAAAATGGAAAAACACAAAATGTACCGCCCTTAAAATGAACAAAACAGGGTTTGCTTGCTCCGGATGGAAGGACCTGGTACCTCTGAGCAGCTGAGTCCCCCCTGACCCTGGCCCAGACCCCCTCCTGCCTCAGGACAGCGGTGAGGTCCCATGACAGCACAGCGGGGAGGCACCTGCCTGGCACACAGCTGACCCGGGTTCGATCCAGCACCACCTCCTGGGTCTGCCAGGAGTGATCCTGAGCGCAGAGCCAGGCTAAGGGTCAGCGTGATAAGGGGAGGGCATTTGCCTTGCACACGGCTGACTTGGGTTCGATCCCTGGCACCCCACATGGTCCCCCGAGCACTACCAGGAGTGATTACTGAGCACCCCACCTGGCATTCAGCTTTGCATCACACTTCTTTTGGGGGCCACACCCAGCAGTGCTCAGGGCTCATTCCTGACTCTGCACTCAGGGATCCCTCCTGGCCGGGCTAGGGGAACCATTTGGGGTGCAATTCACTGCAGTCCCCGCTTCACGCTTTCCTACATGGGGATGGGGGAGGTCGAGTCCCCTGGATTAGAGAATGAGCCCGGTCAGAGCACATTGGGGGCTCAAGGGACAGGCTTGTGACCTCGTGCATGAATGTCCATCCCAGCTGGGCTGCATCACTCCCAGGGCCTGGGCAAGGCAGGAAAGTGACCTGGTGCCTCTCAGCTATGACTAGGGTGGGTGAAGTCAGGGAGGGCGATAGGATACTTGAGCCCTGAAACCTGAATTGGGAAAGCTTGGAGGTGGGGCTAAGAACCTTCCACATGCAGCATATGCATGTGCAAAGGCCCTGGGGCAGGAAGGGGCAGATCATGGGCAAAGGGACTGGTGTGCTTAGGGGGCTATGAAGCCTGAGCCTGGGAAATAACTCAGAGGGCTGCAGCGCCCTCAGAGGGCTGGGAGCACCCACCCCCAGCATCAGTAGGTGTGCCCTCCCCACAGAAAAGAAGGCAGCTCAGGAGAAGTGGGGAAGCTGAGAAGCAGAGGGGCGGCTGGGGAGATAGTCCAGGGGTGCAGCCGCTCGCCTCGCACGCAGCTCTCTGGCTGAATCCCTGGCACCACTAGGTGCTGAGCACTGTTTGGTGTGCCCAGATTCTCTTTCTTCTCTGGAGAGAGGAGCAGGGCGGGGTCTGCAGGATCTTCCTTGAAGCTCCCCCAGTCCCGCCTTCTCCTGTCACCCCAGTCTGGACCTCGGGGGCCAGAGGGACAGTCAGAGCCGCTCAGAGAAGCACTTCTGCTGCCCACCGCAGAGAGCAGGGCAGAAGGGGAAACTGAGGACAGGGCTGCCCTCTCCCCACCCCGAGTCAGGCAGGGGAAGCACTGTGTTCCTCTGAAACTGCCCTCAGCCCACTCAGGACCGCACGGTCCCCCGGGCACTGCTGGAAGTGCAGCGACAGGTGACCCCAGAACAAAAAAGGGGGAAACCGCCCGCTTCAGGGGAACAGGGCTCCGCACACCAGCACTCGACCTGGTGTCAGGGGCACCCTTGGCGGCCGGGGGGCTGCTGAGGAGACCCCCACGGTGCCCCATGACGCTGCCCAACCCACCCTGCGGGCTTCCTGATCCAGTCATGGAGGCCGGGAAAGCATCAGCTGTCGGAAACGCTTCCTGCCGCCCTCCTGCCGCGGGGCCTCTGGTCCCGGCACACCCTGAGCAACGCAGGGACAGCCACAGCGCTGAGACTGGGTGAGCCCAGGACAAGGGAGAGGCACGTGACCAATGGGCAAGGGGTGCTGCCCACAGCCCAGCCCCCGCTTCGTGGAAGCTCCGCCCCAGCAGCCTCTGCGGTGGGTGGGTCTTGAACCTCCCAGGGCAGGAATGACACTTGTGGGGCCAAGCTGGGGAGACGCGTGTGCAGGGGTGTGTGTGTGTGTGTGTGTTGTGTGTGTGTGAGTGCAGGTGTGTGTGTGTGTGTGTGTGCACTCATGTTTCTCTGTGTGCAGGACTATATGTCTATATGTGTATGTATGCATGATGCGTGTATGCAAGAGTGCATATCTGCCTGCATACAGCATGTATGTGAGCACATGTGTGCATGTGAGGGCAGCAGTTCACATCTACATGAGTGCAGGACTGCATGCCTGTACATGTGTGTGTGTCTGTGTACATATCTGCATGCATGCAGGAGTGCATGCCTGCATGTGCGCAGCATGTCTGAACATGTGTGCATGTTTGTGTTTGTGTGCACGTGTGCTCACATGCATGAGTGTCTATCTGTGTGTGTAGCAGTGCATGTGTGTGTGCAGTGCCAAGAGTGCATGTCCGCACGTGTGCAGCATGTCTGTGAACATCTGTATATGCCTGCGTGTTCACCTGTGTCTCTGTCTGTGTGCGTGCAGCAGTGCGTGTGTGCGTACGTGCAGGAATGCATGTCTGTGTGCTTGTGTGTGCGTGTACCAGTCATGCCGGAAGAAGGGTTTTTCCCGAAAGTCATTGGAGTGAATCCCCACAAGACTGGACTTGCCAGCAGCCCCTGCCCTGGGCATACAAGCGACACCTGAGCATCAGGTGACAGCAAGCCTGCAGACAGCCGGGCAGCTGCTTCCTGCCTGGTGGGCGAGCAGAGGGCGTGGCCAGGACTCCAGAGAAGCCAAGGAAGGGAAGGGGGTCTCCCTCAAGCAGCGGCGGGGGGGGGGGGGCGTGCGTGGGGACCCCTCTCCTGGCAGCGCACCCCATGCTAGTGTCACCCACCATCTCCAGGCTGTCCCAGAGGCAGATCTCTGGCTTGGAGGCCTCACCAGATAATGCTCAGGGCCACTCCCCGCTGAGTGCTGGGGGACCCTGGGTGCTGGGTGTGGAACCGCTGTTGGCGCAGCCCCTGGCTAGACCCACCTCAGATGCGACTCTCACAGCTCATCTGACCTTCTGTTTTGCTTGACCCTTGACCTGAAACCACACCTCAGCCCCCAGCATCAGCTGGGGTGCGGTCAGGGAGCTGAGTCAGCCTCCTGAACCGACACCCCTGTGGGCCCCACTGGGGCGCAGAGGCTGGGGGCCGCCCTTCCTGAGGACCAGCTCTCCTAGAATCACGAGAGCCAGAGCGGGTGCCACCTGCCTCCTCTGGGACCCAGGTACCCCCGACTGTGGGCTCCGCCCATGCCCTGTGGGTTCGAGCCAGGCATGTGGAAAAACAGGGGTGGCCCCTCTCCCGGCTGCTCCCAGCACTGGCCGGCTGGACCCTACGCTGCCCATGTGCGCGGGGGAGTCACAGCCCCAATGGGTCTAATGTTCAACTAGCTGGCTCCCTGGGCCCCTCCTTACTTCCGGCAGTTTCTCTAGGGTGGAAGACAGGCTGGGAGACTTTCCCCGCTCCATGAGATTCTGTGATTCTGGGAGGTGCAAGGGGGGACCAGGACCCCCACCCCCAGCGTGGCACGGCCAGGCTACAATATGCACCCTTGGAGTTAGTACCTCCCTGGCAAAAAAGGGCTCAAGCGTGTGGATTTGAATCCCCACCACTTGCCATCGTTCAGGAGGAAAACGGTAGGCTAGAGAAGAAACAGCTAAGGGGTCTGCACACACAATTCACACGCAAGGGCCCGGGTTCACAGTTCAGCACCACCCCCAGGACCCTGGAGCACAGAGCCAGGAGCAGCCCCTGAGCACTGGTCCCTGCAAGCCAAGAAAGCTGAGGTGGGTGGCAGGGCTGTCTTCTTGCCACCTGGGTCTGGATCTCTTTAAAAATAAACCCAGCCTGAGACATAAAGTAACAAAATAGGAGATTAATACCCAAGAATAGCCGAGATAAGTACCAGGAGGTTCACTCCATGGCTTGGAGGCCAGCCACACATGCTAGGGGAAAAGGCAGCTCAGATAGAGAAGGGAGCACCAAATAAAGGGTGTTTGGAAGATCCTCCCAGGATGGGAAATGCATGTTGAAAGTAGACTAGAGACCGAACATGAATGCCACTCAATGCCTCTTTTGCAGACCACAACACCCAAAAGGAGAGAGAGAACAAAAGGGAATACCCTGCCACAGAGGCAGGGCTGGATTCAGGGGATGGGGGTGGGAGAGATACTGGGATCCATGGTGATGGAAAATGGGCACTGGTGGAGGGATGGGTACTTGATCACTGTATAATTGAAACCCAAGCACAAAAATTTGTAAGTCTACAACTGTACCTCATGGTGTTTCACTAATAAAAATTAAGAAAATAAAATAATAAAAATAAATAAATAAATAAATAAATAAACCCAGCCTAGGGGCTGGAGATAACACAGCAGGTAGGGCGTCTGCCTTGCATGCGGCCGACCCGGGTTCAATTCCCAGCATCCCATATGGTCCCCTGAGCACCGCCAGGAGTAACTCCTGAGTGCAGAGCCAGGAGTAACCCCCTGTGCATTGCCGGGTGTGACCCAAAAAGCAAAAATAAATAAATAAATAAATGAAATAAAAATGAACCCAGTCTCAGAGCCAGAGAGCACACCAGGAGGGTGCTTGTCTCACACACAGCCAGCCTGAGTTCGATCCCTGGCACCCCATATGGTCCCCTGAGCCCCGCCAGGAGTGATCCCTGACCACAGAGTCAGTAGTAAGCACTGAGCACTGCTGGGTGTGGCCCCAAAACAACAAAAAAAAAATGTTTTTAATGAAAAATTTTCATTAAAAAAATTTTTTTTGAAAAATTTTTAATGAAAAAGGGCTGGAGCGATAGCACAGCGGGTAGGGCGTTTGCCTTGCATGCGGCCAACCCTGGTTCGATTCCTACGTCTGTTTTGGAGAGCCGGGCAAGCTACCAAGAGTATCTCGCCTGCACAGCAGAGCCTGGCAAGCTCCCCGTGGCGTATTCGATATGCCAAACACAGTAACAACAAGTCTCATGATGGAGACGTTACTGGGCCCACTCGAGCAAATCGATGAACAACGGGAGGACAGTGCCACCGTGCCACAGAAAAAAAGTAAAGCCGGGTGTTGGCTAGCCCGGCTGGGCGTGCAGAGTCCCGGAACCCGGGATTCCCCCAGCCACCCGCTGCTGTGGCTGTAAGCCGGCACCACCGCTCCAGGATGCGCTCAAACGTGTGTCTCCACAGCCCGGGACATGGGCCAAGCCCCAGGAGAGGGGGTCACCTGCTGGATTTGAGCATGGGTAAGCGTCTTGGTCACTGCAGTCCGAGCAGTACTGAGCAGTGTCCCACAAGTAGTAAATGTTGGTTAATTCTGCATTGAATGAGCCAGTGAATGGGTCAGTAGAAAGGGGGATGGAGGGATGATGATTGGGTGGGCGGTGAATGGATGGATGGCTAGAGGGTGGGTGGATGGGTAGGTGTGTGGACAGAGGGACGGATGGCGGGTGGATAGAGGGATGGGGAGGTGGGTGAGTGAAGAGGATAGATGGGTAGGGGGTGAGTAAATGGATGGATGGATGTGTGGATCGGGGGACAGGTGCGGGATGGGCAGGGGCCGGGTGAATAGAGATGGTGGGTGGGGTGAATAACTGGATGGATGATGGGTGGGTGGGCAGAGTGGAGGGACGGTGGATGTGGGTGAATGGGTAGGTGGTTGAGTAAGTAGATGGACAGAGGAGATGAGTGGATGGATTACGTTTATATGAGGGTGAAATACCAAAAAGTTTCATTTCCTGCATTTCCACTTCCTACATTTTGTCATTTTTACAAACCACAAGTATGTGGACTATTTTCTTTTTATTTTGTTTCCCGGCCACAAGGGTGGTGCTCAGGGCTGACTCCTGGCTCTGTGCTCAGGGATCTCACCTGGAAAGACTTGGGGGGGGGCTATGGGGTGCCGGGGATCAAACCCGGGTCAGCGGTGTGAAAGGCAAATACTCTCCCGCTGCACTGCTGCTCTGGCCCCAAAGTTTATTATTTTTTTGGGTGGGTGGGGGGGGAGGGCGTTGGGTCCTACCCAGCGATGCTCAGGGATCACTCCTGGCTGTGCTCAGGGGACCATATGGGATGCTGGGGATCGAACCCGGGCCGAATGCGTCAAGGGCAAGCACCCTCCCCACTAGTGAACAATTTCAATGGCTTAGCACAGGCCCCTCCGCAATCCCTGGTGTTTTTGTAATAAAAGGATTTTAATTTACACTTGGCATCCTTCCTGCTGCCGCCTAGCACGGGGCTCTGCTGGCAACTCTGGGAGACGGGAGGGTTTGTTCCCGTCCCCGTGTCCGTCCGTTTCCCCCCCCCCCACTGCCCAGTCTCCAGCACCCCCACCGAGCTCCTCTGCCTCCTCACTCCTCAGCCCTGAGGATAGTAGCACAATGTCAAAGCTAGAAAGTAATGCGTAAGGGCCCGACGCACGGTCAGTGCCGTCTCAGGCAGGGACACGCAGCCACTTCAAAGAACGTTTTCGCAGAGATATTTGCTGACGCATCAAGTGCTCATGAAATGACCTTAATAGGGGAAAAAAAAAATCACAACTCCAAATTCAGAAACTTTTTTGTTTCTTTTGCTCTTGGGCCATGCCCAGCAGTGTTCAGGGCTTCCTCCTGACTCTGGGCTCAGGGGTCACTCCTGGTGGGCTCAGGGAACCTTTGGGTTCTCCGGGGATCAAACCTGGGTTCACCACATGCGAGGTAAATGCCCTCCCTCTCTGCTATTGCTCAGGTTCCTTTTTCTAATTTTTTTTTTTTGCTTTTTGGGGCGATGCACACAAAGTGGCGATGCACAGGGGTTACTCCTGGCTCTCCACTCAGGAATTACTCCTGGCGGTGCTCAGGGGACCATATGGGATGCTGAGAATCGAACCCGGGTCGGGCGCGTGCAAGGCAAACGCCCTACACACTGTGCTATTGCTCCAGCCCTTCAGTTTCCTTTTTAACTTTGTTTTTTTCGTTTTGGAGCCATACCCAGCTGTGCTCAGGGCTTCCTCCTGGCTCTGTACTCGCCAGTGGACCCCAATATGGAATGCAGGGGATTGAACCCGGGTTGGCAGTGTGCAAGGCAAAAGTGCCTTACCCACTGTATTATCTTTCTGGCCCTAAATCAGGTTCATTTTAAGAAAAGAAATCAGGGACCTGAAATGCGGCTCAGGGGTAAAGCACATTACCTTGCACGGGTGAGGTCCTGGGTTTGATTCCTAGCACAGTCAAATGATAACAATAACACACATAGACAGACACAACCGAGAAGAGATAAGAAGTGTTTCGGGATGTGAGTGGTTTCACTTTTTTCTCTCTAGACATCCACACACATAGTTTTTGGTTTGGTTTGGTTTTGGTTTTAGTTTTTGGGCCCACCCAGCAGTGCTTGGGGGTTCCTCCTGACTCTACACTCAGGAATCCTTCTTGGAAGTGCTCAGGGGACCCTGTGGGGTGCCAGGGATCAAATCTAGGTCAGCTGCACGCAAGACAAACTCCCCTCCTGCTGGACTATTGCCCCGGCCCCTATGTTTTGATTTTGGAGTCACAACTGGCAGTGCTAAGGACTTACTCCAGGCAGTGCTGGGGGACCCTCGGCAGTGCTGGGAATCAAACCAGGGTTGACCGCATGCAAGGCAAACGCAATCCCCGCTGTCCTGTCTTTTCATCCCCTCTACATATTTTCATGATCACCAGAATTGTCTTCAATGTACAACTGCATCTTCTGTTTTGGTTTTGGTTTTTGGGCCACACCCGGCGATGCTCAGGGGTTACTTCTGATTCTGCGCTCAGGGATCACTCCTTGGCTGTGCTCGGGGGACCATTTGGGATGCCAGGAAGCGAACCCGGGTTGGCCATGTGCAAGGCAAACACCCTTCCCACTGTACTGTCATTCTGTTTTTGTTTTTTTTTTTCTTTTTATCCAAGGAATAACAGTTTCTAATAGACCCAGGGATACCTAGCATAGAAAAATAATCGAGTTTCATTCAAAATGAAAGAAATGCAGGGCAAGATGGGGTGTACCCCGTCCTTTTTTTTTTTTCTTCTTCACAGTACCAGACCAAACCAATTCTAAGGCTGCATTGCCGCAGGGAGCCGCCGAAGGCTTGTACCTGAGCCGTGCAGTTGGCGGCTTGTACCTGGGCAGGCTCTGACTGTTGTCTGGCACACAATGATGGTGGTGGTGGGGTCTGCTTTCAGTGCTGGGGAGGAAACTTGGGGTCCCAGGCACAGCCAGGACTGGAGCTGCGCCATCTCCCCAGCCCCAGAGACATTGGCTGGTTCTCTCTGTGAGGTGTAGGGCACAGGCTAGTCCTAATTGAATAAGAACAGCCCCCCCCCCCCCCAAACTGGCTGGCTCGGCGCACACTAGACGTGGGTTTGGTCTGGTACTGTGAAAAAAAAAAAAAACAGGCCAAACTCCATAACACTTGCCTTGCACGCAAGTTTGGTCCCCTGGGTTTGGTCCCCAGGCCTGCCAGGAATGAGCACAGAGTCAGGAGGACCCCGGAGCACGGCCAGCTGTGACCCACACAGGAAATTTCCTCTGCAGCTGGGTGGAAAAGCACAGTCCAGGTTCCCTGGGGAAAGGGCAGCCCTCTGGGGTGCTCCCATGGAAGCCTGGAGAGATGCGGCAGATGCTGAGTCCCGCATTCACGCTGGACGATCTCCTCTCTGGCGTGAAAATCCCGAGCCACGTGGCCTGGTAATCGGCTCAGTAAGTCACACTTCTGTGGAGCCCCCCCCAGCTCGCACGGCCACCCCCCTCTCCCCAACACTTGCCGGAGGCACCGCTCCACATCCGGGTCGCTCCTGCAATACTGGGGGCCTCCGTGCCTCAGCGCATCCTCGGGGTTGGCGAAAGCCTGGAAAACATCCGCTGGGATTACTGTGTGTCAGCCGGACTCTGAGGCCCGGCCAAGCCGAGCTTCAGTCCCTGGAACAAGCCGCAAGTGCCCAGAGGCCCCTCAGAGCTAATGAAAGGGGGTTGGAGAGATAGCACAGAGGGGAGGGAGTTTGCCTTGCATGCAGCCGACCTGGGTTCGATTCCCAGCATCCTTTAAGGTTCCCTCAGCACCGCCAGGAGTAATTCCCGAGTGCAGAGCCAGGAGTAACCCCTGTGCATCGTCGGGTGTGACCCAAAAAGCAAAAAAAAAAAAAAAAAAAGCGGCTGGCAGGTTCCCCAGCACCCCCCATGAAGGGAAGTTTCTGTTCTGCCTGGTCTTCCTGGAGACACCCTCACCCCTACCCACAGAGGGGGAATCCCCGCTTTGTCAACGGCCCCCACGGGGAAGCAGAGACTCAGGCCCCTTATCTGCCCGCTTTCTGCAGGAAGCCAGACTTGTCAGGACAAATTCAGGAGCCTTTGGGACATCTGTCCGCAGGTGACGGTTGTCCTGCTTGGTGGGCACTTCCCGAGGCCAAGCATTCCTCTTCTCCAGCCCCAAGCCAAGTTCCACCAGAAGACTCTGCCCGGCTCTGCACAGCCTGCAAAGGGCAGGGCGTGAAGGGTCCGGGGGGCTGCTGCCTTTGGGGTCCGAGATGCTGGCGGCAGCGCTGAGGGAACCCTAAGCCTGGCATCTGCAGGCGGGTAGGGAGGAGCATTTCACTGCAACTGTTCATCACCAGCCGGGAGCACCAGGCTGGGGCGGAGGGACCTCCCACCAACGCTCGCCCCACCTCCTGAGTGTTGCCCCCGGACCGGAAGGGCCTCCTTCAGCCATCCACCACCCACCCCCAGAAAAACACTCCGGGGGTCTCTCTCCTTGGAAAGCAGAGAGAGGTCGTGCGGGGCGGCACCCCCCCCCCCATCCTTCCCGGCCCACCAAGCCCTCCCTTTGAGCGCTTTTCCACAGGAAAGTTCTACTTCTGACACCCACTGGGGACCCCGGGGGGTTGTGGACCCAGATGCCCAATTATGCCCTCTCTGAAGGCAGGGACCCCCGCTCTTCCCCAGGACCGTCCCAGCCCCTCTGCTGGCCAGGGAGCACTGTGTGGGGGGTGGTCCTCTGCTTGGACCCGCCCCCGGCCTTTGCCAGGGCCTGAGCGCGGCCCCTGCCAAGGCGCCCAACCCGACCTCGCGCCCCAGTGCGCACTCGGTCCTCACCCCCTAGACCAAGCGGGCCAAGGGCAGTTTCCGGAAAGTCTCTGGACCCCGCTGGAGGCGATCAGCAGACCCCAGGGGCTGCGCGGAAGGTCCCCCCGCCCCACCCGCCAGGACACAGACCTGCTTCCTACCCAGCCCCGGGTCTCCGGTTGGCTGGGTGGGAGCCGCTGCCCCCGGACCCCCATCCGGGCCGGGCTCCGACCTCACGGGGCTGCGGGGCGCGGACAGAACGGGAATTTCCACTCGCCAAAACTTCCCGTTCCCGGGGCCCCTTGGGCGCCCGTGCCCGGCGCGGGGTGGTGGTGGTGGGGGGGAGCGCACCCACCTTTTTCCGCAGCCGCACTTGCCCGGTGATCACGGCCACCACGTACATCTTAATGAGCAGCAGCGCGCTGCACAACAGGAAGGCGGGCAGCGCGGGGCTGGTGTCCATGGCCAGGCCGAGCAGGACGCAGGAAAGCGGCGGGCAGCGGCAGGGCGCGCGGGCGTGTGCCGGCAGAGGCGCAGGCGGACGGCAGCAGGCAGGGGGGCGGGGGGCCGGGCTCAGCACCGCCCACCCGCGGAGGCTGAGCCGGGATGCTCCCCCCCACACCACCACCACCACCACCGCCCCCCGGGCCCGGTTAAATCCTTGAGTACTTGCACATCTCTTAAGTTACCTCGAGGCTGGAGAGATAGTACTGGTGTCCCGCCTAGGCTGGGTGCGGACCCCCCACCACAACACCCAACAATTAAAAAAAAAAACAAAAAACTGTGCCAAATCAGAGCTGACAATACAGGGGGGAGGGGGGTTGTTACGCATTTGCCTTCTAGCATCTGACCCAGGGTTGAGCCCAGGTAGGCACCCCAAAGGGTCCCTCAGCCTCCACAGGAGTGAGCCCCGAGTTCAGAGGTGGGAGGAAACCCCAAGTACAGCCTGGTGTGACTCGAAATCAAATTTAAGATGCTCACTTTGCATGAGGTTTGATCCCTCACTGCTGGTGATCCCCCCCCCCCACATCACCAGCCTAAACCCTGAGCACAGAGCCAGGAGTAAGCGCAGAGCACTGCTGGGTGTGGCCCAAAAATGAGAGAGAGAGAGAGAGAGAGAGGGAGAGAGAGGAGAGAAATAAATTAGAAGGAATACCAGCTGCTCTCACTCATCTATGAAACACACAGAAAAATAAAACAGGGGAGTTGACAGTAGAGAAAATGATGAACCCTAGGCCTAAGCCTTGGGTAGCAAACCTGAGCGTCCCAGGGCGAGGGGGAAGGACAAAGAGGTGGACAAGACATGATTGAGGGCTGGAGCAATAGCACAGCGGGTAGAGCGTTTGCCTTGCACATGGCCGACGCAGGTTCGATTCCCATATGGTTTCCTGAGCACCGCCAGGAGTGATTCCTGCGTGCAAAGCCAGGAGTAACCCCTGAGCATCGCCGGCCGGGTATGGCCCAAAAAGAAAAAAAAAAAAGGACATGATTGAAGGACATGGCCGTGGCCGGGACAGCACGCCCGGAACCTCATAGTCACCACTATCCCAGACAGCTGAGCTCCACAACAATCATTTTTGAATGTTGCAGCCAGAGATATAGTAAGGAGGGCGATGGGCTTGCCTTGCCTGCAGCTGACCCAGGTTCACCCCCCACATTGCATGTGGTCCCCCAGCACGACCAGGAGTGAGCCCTGAGTGCGGGGCCAGGAGTGAACCCTGAGCATTGCCGGGTATGGCCCCCAAAGCAACAAAAATGCATCAAACAGGAAATAAAGGGGCCAGAGAGATAGTGCAGTGGGTAGAGCACTTGCCTTGCCTGCGGCTGACCTGGTAGCGTCCCCCAAGCCCTACCTGGAGTAATTCCTGAGCCTGAGCCAGGAGTCACCTCTGAACATTGGCCGGGTGTGGCCCCAAATAAAACAAACAAACAAACAGGAAAACATCGGTGCTTGTTAGCTGACACAATGTTTCTGCATCTCCAAAAGATAAAGGCAAGATAAAGGCTCGGCCAGAATCAGGGGGACGGGGACAGGACCCCAGAACTCACGGGGTGTCCAGATGGATGGCTGGTCCCCACCTGTCCACAGGAGAAATTCTCCCAGCCTCGTCCTCACTGCTGTTTTGGGAACAAAGGCGGCCCGGTTTCCTCTACTCCCAGCTTGGGGCACCCCGAGAGATGGGGACTTTCTTGTCTCAAAGCTCTGAGAATGACCCCACACATCCCCCCAAATCATGGGCAGGAGGCAGCCCAAGAGGGACTCTCAAGTGTCCTCCCCTTCTTAGCTGGGTCCTGCCCTATGGGGGTTCCCTGCTGTTACTTGGAATATTAAGGAGTCGCACTTGACACCTCTGCCCCCTCCCAACCCCTCACCCCCCACCCCACACACTTCCCCACCCTCACAGCACACGTGACTGAAGGAGGAAACTTCTCATTCAGGTTGGGGCAAACCAGTTAAGCCAGGCCCAGAGAGAGGCTTGGTGGAGGGGAATTTCCCCCAGGCTGTCGCTGTCAGCCGCTGACTGGGCGGGGCTGATTACTTTCCTTGGATGCCAGATCTGTTCTTTGCCATAACCGGAGGGTGGATGAAGCTGGGCTTGTGCCTCAGTGGAAGAGCACTTGCCTGTGTGAGGCTGCAGGTTCCGTGCTAGCGACTGTAAAAATAATATTAATGTGGGATCTGGGTCCTGGCACGGCGGGGGCGCTGGAATGCCCTGTGGGTTCCCACGCTCAGGTGCTGGGGAATACAAGTGAGGCAGAGACAAAACCGTGGGTGAGAGAAATTCCTGGACTGCCCTGGGGGGAGGGGGTGCAACTGTTCTCTACCTGCCGTGGGCATGTCTTTGTAAAACTGCAAAATGCAGGGCCGGAGGGGCTGGAGCGATAGCACAGCGGGGGAGGGCGTTTACCTTGCATGCAGCAGCCCAGGTTTGATCCTCGGCATCCCATTTGGTCCCTTGAGCACCACCAGGAGTGATTCCCGAGTGCAGAGCCAGGAGGAACCCCTGAGCATTGCTAGGTGGGACCCAAAACAACAACAATAACAATCAGACAAATGCACCTTGATACATCTTTAGAAGCTGTCCTTAACTGTACTTAAGACATAAATACCAGGGCCAGGGATATGGCTCCAGGGCAGAGCACCTGCCTTGCATGTGTGAGGCTCTGGGTTTGGTTCCCAGCATGGAATCGGTCCCCCAAGGATTGTCAGGAGCGATTCCCTCAGCCCAGCACTGAGCCAAAACACTGTCACTGTCCTCCCGTTCATTGATTTGCTCGAGCGGGCCCAGTAATGTCTCCATTGTGACACTTGTTATTGTGTTTGGCATATCGAATATGTCACGGGTAGCTTGCCAGGCTTGCCATGGGGGCGAGATACTCTCAGTAGCTTGCCGGGCTCTCTGAGAGGGGCGGAGGAATCGAACTCAGGTCAGCCATGTTGTTTGAGTGCAAGGCAAACGCCTACCCGCTGTGCTATCTCTCCAGCCCAGCCAAAACATATAAAAAAAAAAATCAGGGGGGACTGGAGTGATAGCACAGGGGGTAAGGCATTTGCCTTGGCCGACCCGGGTTTGATTCCCAGCATCTTATATGGTTCCCTGAGCATGGCCAGGAGTAATTCCTGAGTGCATGAGTCAGAAATAACCCCTGTGCATATCCGAGTGTGACCCAAAAAAAAAAAAAAGAAAAAAAGAAAAGAAAGAAAATCAGGGGGCAGATCGAAAATCTAGCAGAGAGGGTGTTTGCCTTGCACATGGTGGCCTACCTGGGTTCAATCCCCTATGGTCCTCTGGGAACCGCCAGGAGTGACCCTTGAGTGCAAAGCCAGAGTGAACCTGGAGCACCGCTAGGTGTGACCCCAAAACCAAAAATAAATAAAAAGAAAATAAAGCAAAAATTACCCAGTCATGAGATTTCTCCCATCAAGATTCTATCTCTGGAAGCAAAGAGGAAGGGGCTGGAGAAAGCCCTGCCTGCTCTTCTCCCAGCTCACCCTCCCTGGCACTTCCTGAGACTTACACCCCACGCTGGGGGGGCTGCATTGTGTGACTTCAGAGGCAGGAGACCAGGAAGCGGCCCCACCTCCTGGTCCTGACCCCAGTGAGTGAAGCTGCTCCAGCCAGCAACAGGGAAACGCTGTGATGAAAAGCAAGACACGGACTGGAGTGACAGTACAGCTGGGAGGATGCCTGCCTTGCAATGGCCAACCTGGGCCAATCCTTGACTCCCCATATAGTCCCCCAAGCACGCCAGGATGATCCCGAAACACAGAGCCAGGATCAGTCCTGAGCACAGCCAGGCATGGCCCACAAAAAGAAAGCAAAACAAAAAGCAGAGCCTGGGGGTCAGAGAGACAGCACTGGAATTAAGGACCTAGAGGCCAAAGCATAGTATAGCGGGAAGGACTTCTCTGGAGTCATTCTTGGCAGTGCTCCCGTGACTATATGGGATGCTGGGAATCTAATCGCATATAAAGTAAGTACCTCACCTGCTGTACTATCGCTCTGGCCCTGAAAACATCTTTATTTTTCTTTTTTTTTGGCCACAGCCAGCATTGCTCAGGGGTAGGTGCTGGCTCTACACTCAGGAATTACCCCTGACAGTGCTCAAGGGACCATATGGGATGCCGGGAATCCAACCCCAGTCCGTCATGTGCAAGGCAAACGCCCTACCCGCTGTACTATCGCTCCAGCCCTTGACCCTGAAAACTTAAAAAAAAAAAAAAAACTGTACAGGGGACAGAGCAATAGTACTGTGGGTAGGATGGTTGCCTTGCATGCAACTGACCAGGGTTCGATCCCCAGCACCCCAGCCGGTCCCCTGACTCCCTGGGTGCAGAACCAGGAGAAGCCCTGAGCAATGCCGGGTGTGACCCAAGGCCAAACAAAAAGAAATCAGAAAAAGGACGGTCACAGAGGGTCCCCTGAAACACTGTCATGTGTGACCCCTTCAAGCAAAAGAGAGGAATAAAATTTTAAAAACCAAGAGCAAAGACTGTCAAAATGCCACGTTGTTAAGTCAGATTTGTTGGGTTGTCACCCGGTGGAACGTGTGGTCGGAATGGAAAGAAGAGGCAGAAGTCAGATTGATGCGCAATGCCAGTGACCCTCAAGTCCGTCCACTGCCTCCCCAGGGGGACAGCAGGTATCTCAGGATAAGTGACCCACGGAGAAGGCTACGCTCCTCCCCGGGCAGCTCAGCGTGCCTCTGGTCCCTCTCCCGGGAAATCACATCCTTCCTCAAGCTACTCAACCCGCAGGGAAAGCTCCCCCTTTGCCTGGCATTCTGGTGGGGCAGCCAATCAGAGTACTGCTCTGCTCAGTCATGTGACGCACACCAACCAATGATAATGTCCTTATTATTGGGCCATGGTGATTGGTCCAAACAGAGCCAATAAGAGCTCTTCCCTGGAATTTGTCAGATAAGCCACGTGGCAGCCCAGAGGACCATGCTGTGCCTCCGATTGAACTTGGGACTTCTGCTTTCAGAGCATGTCCCCAGCCTGCTGCAGCATCTCCTGGGTCCTGGGAGGTATATTCAGACACTGACAACGAGTCCCCTACTGGCTCCGGGACTGACACTGAGGTCCCCACCGCCCTAGAGCTGTGGCCAGCTCCCCACCCCCCTGGCCCTCATGGGAAGATGCTGTGCCTTTGACT